ACTAATATGATTAATAACACGAAAAAGTCTTGCGTCGAGATTACGAGCGATAATCAATTGACTCACTCATCAGCACCACTGCCTGTCAACGGAGTGAATGCATCACACGTTCAGTCGAGTCAGACTCAATCATCGCAAACGTCATCCCTGTCCTCGTCGTCGTCGACAGCCTCTCCGACGCCAAGACTTCCCGACTTTATTCGCCCCAAAATAGTGACGATCGTCAGGAATGGAGTGAAACCGCGAAAAGTGTTTCGTTTGCTTTTGAACAAAAAGACGGCTCAGACCTATGATAAAGTGCTGAACGATATCACAAATACTATTAGACTGGACTGCGGGGCTGTGCGACGGATATACACATTGTCTGGAAATCAGGTATAAAACAGATGAACGATCGTTACGTTGTAGCGAATGAGCCCACAATAGACAATAGGCTGAGAGAAAAGGCCGCAAAACGTCTTCAATCATTGCTTTCATTGCCTTTTCTTTTAACTCAATTCAATACAATTTATACATTAGTCTTAACCGATGTATTACAGCCCCCGACACACAACACGTGAGCCACTATTGATAGTGTAGTATCGGTAGTGTAGTTCCACTCTTGAGTACATAAACCTATTTATTTATTTGAGTCGTTTCTCTCTCTCTCTCTCGCAGTTCTCCTGATCTCTCGATTTTGTTTTTGTCTGTTCTCTAAATTCACACATAAAACAGATTAATATTGATCTCTAAGGAGGAGGTCTTGTCTACAATTCAATACATTCTCTCCTCTATTCTCTCCACTCGATGACTGTTTGTCTCTCTGTTTCTCTTTTTTTTCTCTCTCTCTCTCTCTTAATACTCTGTTCTCTCATCTACTCGTATACTGACATTAGGGGTGAATATTATATAAACCATCAGTAATGCAGACCTTTAACCCTCGGCTCAGCCCTACTCAGCCTTCACTTCAATTGTGTTTCTTTGCTTTCATCCAATTTTTTATGCGTCAAAATGTTTTGATGTGATTTATAATTATTTAGTTTACCTTTCGTTGCATTTTTCTGTTTCTCTTATTTTTGGTACAAAAATATTTTAATAGTTTATAGAAAGCAATCATTTCTTTCTCACTCAACGCAAAGTCTTAAATAACTAATGAATTAAAATCTAATTTACTTTCGACTCTCAGGTCTTATGTCTGTCAGACTTTTTCATCGACGACGACGTCTTTATTGCTTTCGGAACGGAAAAGTATTCTCACGAAGACTTAGATCTCGACTCTGAAGGTATGTCTCTCTCTCTCTCTCTCTCGTCGAGAAAATTGAGGGTTGGATGCGATTTGCGCCCAACATTCCAGTCGTGACAACTTGTTTTGACAACAACTTTGCAAATGTATAGACAATATAATACTGTAGAGACCGATGGTTAGGCGAAAAACCATAGCGTATAACGTATTGATTATGAGAGAAGTCTGTGACTCATCATCCACTTGGATATGTTGGGCACACAATCCCTCCATCCCTTACACATCCCTCTCCACCCGCTTTTACATATAATACACGTCTCTCTCAAATGGTTTTCACAATGAATAGTCGCGACTTGTGTTGATATAACACATAATTTATTTTGACTTTATTTTGACTCATTTTTCTTTATATTTCTCTCACACTCTCTCTACCATTGATGGCACGAATTGATGACAATCGGTGACAATAGAGCACAAACTGGTCTACTCTAAGACGTCGTCTTTGAGTCGAAGTGTTTGCCACAGAAGTGGCAAAAAGAGCTCTCCTTCGCCGCTATCTGTCATTTACGGTACTCTAAGTAATGGCAAAGGAGTCAACTCTACTCACAATCAAAACTCGCCGAAAATGGGCTCAAAATTGAATGACAAGAATAGTCGAAACGCAGCGCTTAATGGCAATTATGGGTACAATGGGAACGGCTATTCCGTATCGATTCTGTTCCCTAAACAAGTGACACAACACTACGAAATCGGACAAATCATAGGCGACGGCAACTTTGCTGTTGTGCACCATTGCACTCATAAGGCCACCAAAGCTCAGTTCGCACTCAAAATAATCAATAAATCCAAGTGTAAGGGAAAGGAGGCTATGATTGCCTCTGAAGTCGCGATTTTACGGAAAGTCAAACACACGAACATTATTCAACTCATTGAAGACTTTGATTACACTAACGAACTGTATCTAGTCATGGAATTAGTTAAGGTATGTATTCCCCCTACCATTCGCATACCGGTGCCCTTCACTAGGCTTTCCATTAATACGATTTTACAATTTATACAAATTTATACGATTTCTTGTCTGCGAATTAGGCAAAAAACTAATTTATATTTCCAGACATTCATTAGCTTTGCACTCATTTGATATTTGCATTTCATTAGAAAGCATTAGAAAATCAAAGCGTTTTTTAATTATAATTAATGCGAGTCTCCGGCAATGATTTAAACATATTTTTAAATGACTTTCTGACATAACTAATAATTATAAAAATATGCATAACTTTTGTGTTTTACGTTGTAAAGGGCGGGGATCTGTTTGATGCGATCACATTAGCGAATAAGTACACAGAAGTGGATGCGAGTCACATGATTCACGACCTGTCCGGTGCCCTCCAGTACTTGCATTTGCTAAACATCGTGCACCGGGACGTGAAGCCCGAGAATTTGCTCATTTGCGACAAAAACGGTGTCAAGTCATTGAAATTAGGAGACTTCGGGTTAGCCGTCGAAATGGAGGACAACGTTAAGCTGCACTCCGTGTGCGGAACGCCTACTTACGTAGCGCCGGAAATTCTCGCCGAAACCGGTTATGGCAAAGAGGTGGACATATGGGCGGCCGGTGTTATCGCATACATACTTCTCTGTGGTTTCCCTCCCTTTGCCAACGAAGACAACGATCAGGACTTACTCTTTGATCAAATACTTTCGGGTAGTTTTGAATTCACTCAACCCTTTTGGGACCCGATCTCCGAGTCGGCCAAACAGCTCATTACAGAGATGCTGGAAGTGGACCCAAACCTAAGGCTCACCGCAACCCAAGTCATGGAACACCAGTGGGTTGTCGTAAGTGTTGCCAAACATAACCATTAATTGCTTTTATATGCTAACCATTGCCCGGTTTTTATTGGACTATAGGGTGAGAGCGCCGGCACTAACGATATGTTGAGTACTGTATCGCAAAAGCTTAACAAACATTTTGATAAGAAATCTAACAATAAATCTAAGAAGTGCTCTGAGAATATGGCCGGTATTTCACTGATAGCCGTAAGTACTTACTAGTGATTGGAAATGCCGTTGAAGTACTGGAAGTGCTTATAATGTCTGATCGAATGCATATCAAATCTAATCTGTGATAATGCTATTGCCGTTCCTCTAGTCCTCCCAATAATAGCTTTTTAATGTTTTTCCATACGATTTATAAGCTTTAATCCAATCAATGCATGCAATCATTTGCACATTTGCCTCGCATTTCACTCACTCTTTTTGATACTGACTTTTATGCGAACGAAATACTTCTCAATATTTTTTATAACTCTATTTCTATGCAATTCTCTAAACAATCATTGATTTCCTTTAAAATCCAAAAATCCGTGAATCAATTGCAACCGTACGACAAATGTTATGAGAAAAACTGGATTTCATTACCTGTTTATTAAAGAATTGCTGATATTTTGTCTCCTTTTGTAAGTATAGACCATTAGAAACCATTTGTTTCCCCGTTTTTGTATAATTTGTTAGAAAATATTGACTCCATTTATGTTACTATAAATGAATGCATAATTAATACATAGTTAAGTAACCTATCGGTTAGACTAAACCAAACAAAACCGTTTGTTGACATCAGTTATGATTTTAAATATTCATTAACTGTATAATGTAAATACGAGTCCCCATTCAGTTCAATGGCTTTCGCACATGAATTAGCGGTTAATTTGCTTTTCATTTAATTGTGAATCCGATAATAGCGGACGGCTTTGGATAAGAAACCGATCGGAAATGTGAGACATTATTTCAGACCTTATAGTAAAGGACGGAATCCAGTGATAAGATTTGCTGTGCCTTTGATTCTTCCGCGAACTTCATTCTAACCATCATTTTGTGCCAACTGTTCACTACTGCAGACATTCCCCTCATGCCCTCTCATCTAATACTTGATAAATGTGTATAAAAACTACTAATTTTTCACACCTTTACTTCATTTTTGTTTCATTGCTATCATTGGTTTATGAATAGAAAGTTTTTGTTTTTCATATAATTATTATTGTTTATTAAAATCAAATGAAAGAGTAATTATATTAATTATTATTTTTATTAATATTTTAAGTCAACTATTATTTACAATTTGAGATTTTATTAGATTATTACTAATTGTGTAAAACCCGTGCAATCATTTGATTACTACAAACAAATATTAGATTATTTAATAAATATATTAATTGTGAATACTTTAATAAAATTTTTAAATTGTTTTAAATTTAACCAAAATATACATAAAATTCAATTATTGTAAATAATACTTTATATTTGAATCAAATTCAATGTACGAATGATTGAAATAAAATTATGATAATATTAATTAACCCTAAATGCAAAACCACTTATTTATCGATTAGAATTCAATTAATGATTTAATGAATGGTAAGTCTTTTTGTCTTTTATCTAAACCTTACCATTAAATCGGAGACAAAATTGTATTCACATGAAGATGAAGTCAATCAACGCTAATGTTTCTAATAATAGACTTAAGACTTAATTCTTATATGAATTCATTGGTGGCATAACTGCTCTCTTGAGACAGTCTTCCCATTACTTAAAACTTATGCAAAAAATAAGATTTTGTTTGCGATTATCGAATGATTGATTTGAATTGGTTTTTAATTATCTATAATATATACATTGTAAATTATATATATTTATTATTGTAAATATTGTATCATTGTATATAATACTATTTTCTAATGAAAAACTAAATTACTTCCAGTATATTATAGCGAGTATAGGATTCATTACCAGAAGTAATATAATATAATATTTAAGTAATTGAGTGTAAATTATTGATATAACTTATGAGAAGAAATAATACTTAATACTATTGTTATTACCAAAGGTTTAGCTTTGTTTAGTCGTTATCATAACTTTATTGTTCCGAAAAGTAATGTCAATGATATTCCCGACACTTTTTATGAGATTTTTAATACAGTATTAAAACTATTTGTTTAGTAAAGTAATGTATTATTAACATTGTTGTACAGTATGTATCGATTATAGGGAGCCGGGAATATCGTTTGCATAACTTTAACACCATTTGTATTTTAATGTCTAACCATAGAGTGTGAACCAATGAACAAATCATGTAATCATGTATTATGTGATAAAATATAATACATTGTCTGACAAATCTAATATTGAATTCAAATACTTGTAATATTAATAAAAGCGTGAATTGAATGGCAAAAATAAGCACAACTTCATGTATAATAAAGTACAAGTCTATATAAATAGAGAATAAAGTGGAATATTATTTATAAGTGAATGCAATAACATTTTGTCGTTTATATATTGATATAAAGACTAATATTTTATGATTAAATATAGTGTTATTTTAGTGATTGAATGGCGAGAACATAGGTATTATATCTCACAGAATATTAATAATCAAATAATCATTATATTTATTTGGACTCCGGTTTCATATGAAGTGTATTCTCGAGTCATTCACGTAATTATAGACTTAGCGTTGAAGGGATGGTATGTTTTTGTTGCGGTTTACGGCACAACACATATGAATGAGACTTTAATTCAATTTGTTATGTCTTTCCATAATATTTCGCCGCATTTCCACTAAACATAAGGTTAACGATTCGTATGAGGCGTGGGTTCACAGACACCCGACGCTCTCTTGCTTTTCCTCGTTTCCACATTTGAATACAATTTACACACAAATCATATCAACATTTCTTTCTTCCTATGAAATGAAACTCAAGAAAAACCCCAATCTTTGAGTAATCGCTATATTGTGAGCAATTTTTTCTGGGTTTTCCTCTAAAAGAAAGTTAATTTTAAAGCGAAAAATGTGAGGAATTTCAGCGAACATTAGATTCCGTGTCTAAACGTAAACTCGATTTTTATTTCGCAAAACTTTTTATACTCTCAAAAATTGGTCAGATTTAATGAAACGGAAGCTAAAGATTGTGTTGCAATGAGTGCACCATTTTTTGGCCACAAAATATGATTGAACTCTCTATTAAATTACATTCACTTTCAGACAGCTATGAAATGGGTTTAAAGTCTTCAACGAGAGTATTGAATGAATTTTTAAAAATATTATCTTTCATTAGATTTTATGTAATGCTTTTCTTTCAAAAATTAAACTCTGGTTTCAAATCATATCTCAACAATAATTTAATGACTGACTGTTTGATGAAGTGATTCCTGAAAGAGTTTTTAGATTTTTTGTTGTTGTTATTTATAAATGCTTTTAAATATATATTTATCTGTCGATAGACTATTCACTTTCGATGACAATCGTGTAATTAATCAGAATTTTCCAAATATAGTTACATTTAAAGTTTTGAGCGCAAACCGTATCCAAAATAAATACCAAGACCACGTTTTTGCTCAACCATTTGAGTGATTAGTTGTCAATCAGTGTTCAGTTGAGTCCAAGAGATTTGTTTGTTAGCTATTAATATGATTACTGATTAGTTCAATCAGAATATCAACCATAAGAGTACTGTTTGACAAATATTGTCAATAATATTCAACTCGCGATTTCTAATTATAAGTTTTCTCCTGTTATTGAATGCAACCGTTTCTTCAATACATAATCTTTTCATTTAAGAAACGCTTCCTTTTTATTAACCCAAGAGTTCGTTGTCTTTATGTCTCAATATTTGAAACCAGAGTTTATTGTTCACAGATTTGGCACTTTCCTACCCCAGCATTGAGTTAGACTTTTGGCACAAGTTTTGTACAAATATTTTATACACTATTATATTGTGTGATACACTATTATAACGTTATTAAGTTATGCTTCTCTCTCTTCTCTCTCTCTCGCGCTCTCTCTCTCGCTCTCTCTCTCTCCCTCCCTATTAAGAATCTAATTTAATTTTAAACATGACTTATGTTTTGTGTTGTGCTTAATCTTTTAAGATATTAAGTATTAATTACATGTTTTGGTAATAATCTCCAAAAATGTCATAGTTGTCCAAATTGTCATTCATTTTCTCTAATTATTTATTGTCTAATAAATTCTTAATTCGAGGTTTAATTTGATAATAAAATGAAAAACTAATGAGTTTATTATTCGGAGTATATTATGTAACATGAGTGCAATCACAATATTAATGCCATAGTTAAATTTATATCATACACTACATTTTCGCGTAGTTTATTATTAAGTAGTATTTAGTGTGTATTTGAAATGATAATTATTTTTTGTTGTAAACATTATAACGCTATTTAAGAGGAGAGGATTACTAGTCGTATAATATGTTTAAAACTTTTGGGTCATTTAAAACACTAATGAATGACTTTTATCTAAAACACGTCCAAATTTGTTGAAATTCTATGATTGAATGCAAAGTTGTGTACTTTATATGGAATATAAAAGAATAACAGAATTTCAAAATAAATACAGATTTGAAAACATTTTGTTTGCTTTTCCTTTAACTGCAAAATCGATTTATATATATAAAGTGATATAAAACTAAAAATAACTTCAAAGCGACAGAAATAGTCGCTAAAAGACAAAAATGCATTTATAAAAGGGTTATTAAATGAAAATATAAGCAATAGTTTGACTAAAATGAGTACTGAAGCCATTAAAGCGGTAGTACTGTAATATGTTTTTCTAATTTTAATACAGCAATTATAGTGAGAAATGTGTTTTACATGATATTTACTCATTGCACAAACGACTAGAATATAAGAATTGTGTTTTAAATGACATTTCTCAATATTATTGATGAGTAGATTTTATGGCTAGTCGTGGGGATTGACGTCAAGTTTTTTCAGTAATAATAAACAATCGGAAAAATTATATCATTTTGAAAGTAGAATATTCTCTAAAATAATAAACAAATCTCGATGAATATATTATAACTATATGTAAAATCTGTGTTTGAATTATAAGTAATGTTGTGTTTATATGCGATGAACAATAAGTTATCGATTCATTCGGCAATTAATCATATTTTTGGTAAACAATCAATTTTCATCAGAAATAATTATTATAAAATGCTCTTTTTGCAAAACAAATTCAAACCTAAATAGTAAAATATTTTCTTACATCAAGCTTTAGTTATAATTAGATAAGCTTTCTAACAAAAGCTCATAATATAATGCACATCTTATAGAAATTTAGTCCAAAAATATCTGCTTTATATATAATTTAATTTACAATAATTGACCTAAAAATTAGCGAATGTTATAATGAGCAAAATGAATTAACGTTAAGTATATTTAAAGTTTTTAAAATCTAATTATTGCTGAACTACTTTCATATTTGGCTGAATTCGTGCAATGAATACATTATGACATATCTTAACGTCTCAATACTGTTATACAATATATCTGTAGTCAACTCCGAGTGCATCACAAATATATGTTTCGTACTCTTACTGAGCATTTAATTTCAAAACTCGGAGACAATTTTTTTGTACATCCATTATTTGAGGGCTTTTTGCCAAACATTATAATGACTTTTGCTATACTTTTTTGCTTATATTCAATGAGAGAGAGAATGAGATGAAGTGATGGTGCAGTTCATTGACAATTCACAACCAGGAAGTGATTGTGGATCTTAGACAAAATGTGTGACTACAAGAGAGAGAGAGAGAGAGAGAGAACAGTCAGATCACTCAGAGAGTGATATTTTTTGAGCATCACATCTATCTCTTATCCAAACGCGCGACACAACTCTGGGACTAATATTTCTTTGGCTTTTTTGCTGCTTTTCCTTCTGTTGAAGCAATGCTTTTAGTTGTGATGAGAAGTGCACTGAACTTCTCAGTCTCTCCTCTGTTGTGTCGCTCACATCCAACAAACTTATATCCAATCAAAACATATAGGCTTTTAATCTAAAGATATTTG